AAACACTACTCAGGAGATAAAAATTAACTCTAATGTTCATTGAACACAAACATGAAAAAAAAACCTACCAGGCATGTAGCAAATAAATCATTAACAGTGCTGAAAGTGGAGGGAATTAAAGATTTCACTACTTCAGTGTTTTATGGGAAACGCCAAAAACCCTTTTTGCTTCTTATCAGATCCCATGACAGTTAAACGTCTCAATTCTGGCACACTTCTTCATGACTTACTTACTTTGTGTTACAGAGAAGGTTATCGCAGGCTGAAAACCCCCTTTGAATTTTCACAGTGATTTTGCAGCAAGGGGGTTTTGGACAGCTTCTTAAAGGAGAATAAAAGGACAAGACCAGTTAGAGGAGTGGGACCAAGAGCTATGCTGGGGTTTGGAATAAGCTCCTTCCATTATGATTTGAATTTAACCCAGGGGACTTTGTGCAAAAGCAGTACAATTAGGCATGCAGGACAAATTCTTCCTTTAGGGACTCCTACAGTGGGGGTTGTTTAGAACGCAGCAGCAGACCCAAATAAGCTCAGTCAGAAACCTGCTTTTAAATGTTACTCATCGATGCAAGTAAAAAGAAACAGCATATATAATTATACTGAAGCAGAGCTGATTCTGAGTTAAATGGGTTCTGATTTTCCCCGGGAGATGTCTGAAGCACTTAGGAAGGAAAAAGCAGCCTGCACTACCACTACACTGGAAGCAAGTGCCTTCTACCTGGCAATACCCACACTTTTTTCCTCTACTGTCTGTATTATTACACAGGGCTTTGGAGGGGAAAAAAAATAAAGGTGGCAGTCAGGAAGCTTTCAGAAAAGATGTGAGAAGGGTAGTGTCAAAAAGGATCTGTGCTACCAGTCTCAAAATTTCAGTGGAGGATTTAAAAATGCATTGGATTTTTTTTTTTTAGTAACAAAGGAAGAACAGAGCATTTATAGCAGAGTTGCTCATGAAGACCTGAAGTCTTTTTACGGAGTCTTTAGCTTATTTTCTAGAGTCCCTTGCAAAACACTGTCATTACAACACATTGCTTAGTCTCCTGGGAAACTGCAGCATAGCCACCACTGCTCAAGTAAATTCTATTAATCATCTCAAGCCTTAACTAGACTTTAAAACCTACTTGCTTCTTCGCACAGAAATCCCCCCAGCTGGTAAAGCCCAGCTGACAAGACAGGTCTCAACAATGCTGAAACCCACGCCGAGTGCAGGGTCAAGATGCTAAATTGTCCAACAGTCCCATCTCCACTGAGGTATATGCATAGCAAGGAACAGACTCTCCCCAAAACATGTTAAAAAGCCAAAAAAAGCTAGACTAATGCATTAGCACGAGAAAAAAATGGAGGCTGTGAAGGAAAGCTAAAAAAATACAGCAATTTGTATGTACCTGTTGAAGACCCTGGGATAAGAATTTGTTAACTTAACTTAGAGTCAGGTTAACTCCATTGCTAACAGAGCTCAGTCAAATACCTTCTTATCTCTCTAATCACAGATGGAATGAAGAAACTAGGAATCAAAATGAAAAATTTTTTATTCAAACACTTGCATGCCTTTGGTTCTCTTATCTACTAAGCATCAAAAATGGGCAACAGACTCAAGACTGTTAATTTTTTTTTCCTCTCTGCAACAGGAAGATTCACAGACTTAATGAAGTCAGCTTAAAGGCATAGAAATGTTTGTTCTCTCAGGAAAACTGCATCATCACGCTCTTCCTAATCTTATTAGGGTGAGGACATGACCGCAGTATGCCTGAGTATGTTTCCACTCTTAACAAGAAGTGAAGGGCGGTTCTGTGGGTGCCCAGTGGAGAGGATAGGCAGAGTCTGTTCAGTAGCAGAAAAGTCCCAAGCTCAGAAGACTCAAATGCCTGAGGAAATGAGGTACTTGGCTAATGTCAGCTCTCGCTAAGCACCTAACAAGATGCATGACTACAGAAAGTGACAGCAAAGGAAATGCTGGAGACCTGCTTTAAGGCTTTCTGACACCAGCCAGGGAGCACTAAAGACACGCCAGTCTCTCCCTGTGACCTGCCATCCTGTATGCGCAGGCTATCTTCAGCCCTGCTGGTAACAGCTATTGACAGAGGAGCAGCTTTCAAGGATTTTGAACTAACAGCTTTTAGAAAGAACATCAGTGAAAGAATGACTTAAAAGGACAACCAGGTAAAATGTTCAAGATAAGGAATTAACAAGCCAAAGCACTAAAGAGCTCAAACCTCATTCAAGTCAAGAAGAGACTTCTCAATGTCCGATACTTACAGAACAGGATTTTGGTTGCCAAAGGATTTTCCTTACCTAATAATTCATCTCTTTGCTACAGACCTCTTGTACCTGGGAAGTATGTTCCAGCTAGCTTGAGGAAGATCGCTACATTAGAAAACAGATAATTCATTTGTGAATTAGGACAGAAAAATGGTCAATTTCCACCACCCATTCTGGACAGCATGCAAACCCACATCTCTTGTACCTTTGTCACCCGCACATCAGTTAACAGCTTCTTCTTCTACAAGGAAGCCCTCAACAGTTTGCCAGTGACTAATTTGGCTCCCTTCTCACACATATTAATTAAACCCTCAACCAAATGAGGACTGGAGGATGAACCCTTTTCCCTTGTAAGGCTTTAAAATGCAACTAAGAGTAAATGGTACGTCTAAAATATGCCTAGGCAGACACAGACAGGTTCCAGAAGCAGAAACATTTGCTGCAAGCAGTGTTCATTCTGAACACAAGGTGATGTGCCAGGCCAAGCCAAGAAACAATTGGGCTTAATTAACTTACATGTAATGAACATAAAACCTAGACGCTGTACTCCGTAACAGCTCTGTCTCAAACACTGTCCAATCAAATCCCTTGGACTGTGGTGTAACACTCTTTCCCCTTCCATGCCATTTGGACTCCTGCTATTTCAGTGATGCCTGGGGCTGGGCAAGATGTTTTCCCCAGCACCCTGGTAGCCTGCTGTACCTTGGGAAGGAGCCAGTTCACCTGAGGCTACACCAAGAGCAGCTCCTCTCATCAGAAGGGCTTTATCCTGTCAAACCCCTCCTGCCACTTGGGGGTAGGGGGGGAGTTGTTTTTAATAAATTCTTCAGGGAAAAAGCATATATTATCTCTGCTGTTTCACTTCCGTATTAATTGGGAAAAATATACAGGCTGGGGCTGATATAAAGACTTCTGATTAACTGCATACAAGACAAGAACATTATCTGGATAATACAAGACTAAAATTTGAAAAGACCACAAGCTTGCGCACAAGTTAAAAACACTATTGTAACTCCAATTCCCCTTTCCCATTCTCATCTCCTTTTGGTTCCTCTACATAAAACAGCTGATGAAAGCTCAGTTTCTTCAGAGTGAGTGCAAAAGGAATATTGATTTTATATGCATTTGGAGACATTCTTGGAAGAAACTGAGGTATTTGCAAGAGTTAAGGGGAAGTTAGCAGTCTACCTGCCTGTGTAAGCTTGAAACAAGCCTAAGCCACATGCTGCTTGACCACCTATTCTCAAAATCCTGGTGCCAATCTACCAACAGTTCTTTACCCTACACCCTAAAAAAGAAGTGACTACCCAGCATATATGTATTTTTTAAAATCCTCTGATTTCCTCCCCTCTGGTGTTAAGCAGGCACACAGTAAAACAAAATATCCAACTAAAAATAGATTTTTCTGCCTAGGTAGCTTTTAAGAAGACTAAATGATGAAAAAAGCCTGAACCCTTGGCACAGAGACTGTTCTAAGAGAAGAGCCCTAGAGAAGGCAATGCTACAGAGTGAAAGGAGGAAAGTAAAAAGAGGATAGATAAAGCTGTCATTTCTGGCAGAGGGGAGGGGCTAAGAAAGAAACTTCCAAAACATAGAGTAAAGCCCAGGACAGAAAGAATCAAAGAGTCAAAAGCCAGGTTGTTCTTGAATTTGCATGCACCCTATAAAAGGCCTGACCAAGATACTTTATCAGAAATAGAACCTGAAGGCTTGAATTTATTCAAGCAGTGAGCCTTACTTATTTGTGCACAACCACCAGTATGAGTTTGAAGGACCAAAATTCAACTTTGCTACTTTTAGGAAACCTATACTGCTTAACTCACTGTGCAGCCTGAGCGACACAGATACATTTAGGTGTCTGTTGGATCTGGCAGAATGACCACTCTTCTGACCTGGGGAGAAAAAAAACAAAAAAACAAAAAACGAATGAACAGTTTGAAGAGCATTTATTTAGACACCATATGCTGTTCTACGCATATTTAAAAAAAACACAAATGAAAACACCCAAACCTTTCTGTGGCACAGCAATTGTCACTTTAAAGGATTTTTCACACCTCTGACCACATCTGATTGGTTCAGAGGCTGCTCTGGATACAAAATAGATATGCTGTGAAATTCAAGCTACTTTACACCATAAAGTTGCCATTATTTGTTAACATCTATCTCTACTACTTTTTTTTTAATTCAGCGTAACTTGCTGCATACTCAACCACAGAGACCTGACACAGTTTATTCAGCTCTTCTACTGCAATTATTTCTCCACTAGCTGCAAGTTAACGGATTTCAGTGGATATCTGAACGCTGCCTCGTTTCATCTGGGCCTACCATGAAATTCTGAAAGGAGTCAAGTAACCTTGAACAAAGCACCACAAAGAATTCACAGCTCCCATTGATGGCAATACTTTTTATTAGAAAGAATAACAAAGTGCTTTCCATAGGACTCATTTAATACAGAGTTTTTAAGAAATATGATTTTTCCTTTTTATATGGACAGTTTCGATGTGATGATTTTTCAGTTCAAACAGGGTTCTCCAAGATTCTCCTACACGTAGAGTTTCTTCTCTGTACACAGTTGTTCAAGCATTTATGCATTTGGCAGGTGTGAAACAGTACTGAAGAGTCCATCCTTTAAAAAACAGCTGTTATGTAAAAAGCTTTCAATATTTTAACACTGACCAACAGGAATTACATAATTTGTTGTTTAACACAGATTTAAGGGACATAATTCCTTCATACAGTCCTACACACAGATGCATAAAGGTGCTTTCAGTTCTATCAACAATAATAATCACATATACCAATATAAATAACATTATCAATTTTTACTATATAGACAACAGTGAAATTGTCTTTTTTTATATATTAACCACCTGCCTTTTAGCTAGGGACATCCTTTGAATGTTTGGTGCTTCCTCTGCCTTGGAACTATATCTGGATGGAAGGAAGAACACAATGCAAGGACTGTTCACCCATTCCCCTCTCACTTTTGGCACACTTTTATGATCAGATTTCTTTTGACACACATATGCATCATTTCACTGCATTCCATTTTCCAACTCTTTCCATCTGATTCTGTCCTAGTCCCCTTTTTTCCTTGACTGCTCTTTCCTTTCCTGCAAATGACAGGAAAATCATAGCAATAGCACAAAATTAGGACAGATGATTCAGTGCAAATTCTTATATACAATGGAATGTATGAAACCAAACAGGTGAGGGGTATCTTCCATGCAATACGTTATTTTTCTTTTTTCATTTTCAGTCAACCTAACTCCATTAGGAGGGTTATTTTTTCAGGTTTTTAAAAATGAAAAACTTCTGTGAAGGACAAGATGTTATTAAGTTACCCTTAAGAGAAACCATATAAATCATTCACTGTACACACTCCAAAAGCTACCTGTATACAAACATGGAACATTGAAAGAACAACTGAAATGACTTCTTGAGTGAAACAGTCATAGTTATGCACATACTAAAAGGTAACATGCATATAAACAATGTCCTCACTGAACTTGTCAGTCACACCCTTGCTGCATTGTTCCCGATTCCTTATGTACAGAACAAAATCACCACTTCAAGGAAATAATACATGCCATCTCACAGCACAGTCTCTTTACACAAGAGTATTACTGCCACAAGGATATCACAGAGACACTTCTTCCTACAGGACAAAAGGAAATGGATGAGATCCTCTGAACAGTGACTTGACTGTGGGAAGAAAGGAAGGATTTTTTTTTTTTTTTAAATGACAAGATGCTTTCGTAGTACAGCCCTTATACAAGAGAAGAATACACATAAACCCACCACTATATCTATACAAAGATGCAAAGGTGTAAACAGATGTTCTGCTTTCTGAGTTTCTTGAAACAAAACTAAAGTTTACCCCTAGGCACTTGTGAGTACAGAGCTCCTGCCTCTGAGTTCAGCCTGTACTTGCTGTTTGCTCTGGGGCTTCCAGCTGTGAATAAGAAACCCCTGTATCCAGGATCACCTTCTGTTGTCAAACATTTCCCTGTCACCAGTGTAACTATTTAACAAGGTGCCACTCAATGCCGGCTGCCATCTAAACACACAGCTGAGCCTCAGTCCCACTCGCCCGCAGCCCTGCCGGTCCAGCAGAGCATCTGGGATCCACAGCCAAGATCATGTGAAGGTCTGGAGAGGAGACCTGGCTTCTCAGAAGGTAACTACGCCTCCGTTAGAAAAGCACAGAGACATGTCTACAGATGGCGTTTATAGGCACATAGAGGCTTTATAGAGGAGCTGGGCCTTCACGTTCACTGCCCTAAATAACAATTATTTCACTAATAGGAAAATCTGTAAGGACTGGGGCCAAGGGTCCTGGAAATAGAGCCCAGCAACCAACATGATCCATGTAGGCATAAAATCAGCCTTCAGAATCCAGTTGCAGGACTGGGAACACAAAGAAGCTCCCCTTAACTTCAAAAGTCTCTGGATAAGACAGCATTTTCAACTAATCTATTGTTGATCTCTGCTAGTATAAAAATGTTTAGGAAAAAAGTCACTGCAAAAGGTTAAGTAGTTTTCTGTAAATTTCACATCTTCTATTATATCTCTTTCACTAAATGTATAATCGCACTCCACCATAGATGAAGTCAATTTTGCAATTAAGTTTCTTACTGAAAGTAATGTAGGGCAAATATTAAATTGGTAGCCTATTTTGTAAAGATTCTGTCTCATTTTACTGTTTTGCTTTAAACGAGCAGGTTCAACTTGGAAATATTCAACATACCCCTGGTGTGGCTCCTAGGGAGCCAGAGTGAATTTTGCACCTACTCTTGAATGTATATATCCTATCCTCTGATTTGTGTTGCGCATGATATGCACCTATAGATATGCATTTTTGTTGCCACATGTGGAAATCAACCAGTTAAGACTACTAAATAAAATGACCACCTGATTTCAACTACTTTCTTGCCTTGCATGAGGAAACAGGTCTGATTTGCTTATGTATGCAAAGCTTCTAGCTTGTATTGGGTCCACGCTGCAGCAAATAAGGGAAGCGTTAAGAGATCTGGTCTGATACATATCTGGTTGTTCAGATGGTTCACACACGACCCAGAGGAAGCAGACAATATTCTAGCATTGCCGTCTGGAATGGCAACTCTCCAACACTGCAGCTGTAACTACCTACGAAGTCCATGAATTATCCAAATATTTATCCCAGTATTTATCTTCAGAACAAGGGCTGGGGGAAAGAGCAAATATAAAACAAAAGAAAGAAAAACAGCAGTAGGAGCCGAGTATGTTTCCAAAAACAAGGCAGAGCTACATTAGACCATTTGGCCAATATAGGACTGCGATTCCTCCTAAACAACAGCTGAAGCCTTGTGTGAAGTCACTAGTATTAGTATAAAAGCATTTTGCTGGCATAACTTGTTTCCTGGGGGAAAGCTTGCTATAAGCTAAACTAACCAAAGGTGCTTTTGTGTTGGGAAGTTGTATTCACCTTATGAATATTTGCCATTGTAGGTTTGTTAGCAAACCTCCCTTGTGCAGATTTAGGTTTTCAGCAAAAACCTAGCAAATTATGCAGATTCAGGGAACAAACAGTACAGAAGCGCCCCCCCCCAACAGTGAAAGAGGACACTTGCATGAAGTGTTCTCTTACAACCAGACAAGAAATTTTCACTATACAAAGCAAGAACATTGGGGGAGGGGAACAAAAAGACAATCCTTGGACTAAGGCCCCAAGAGTGCTGAGAACAGTACATTGGACATCATTCTATTTCAAACATCTCCTTTTTTGCCCTTGAAAGATGTAGTAGGGCACTGCTGACTTTGCTTAATATGCATAATTTTAGCACCCCTCACCCCAAATGTTGGAAGTTCAGTGAAATGCAATTCGAAGCATTGCAGCTTTTGATATGCCACCCATTTACCTAAACACATAAATCCACTGACATAGTGACAGTGTTGAAATACATAATTTGAACAGCATCTATAAAATTTTACTGTTGTACATAAATAATGACAAGGCACAGAACAGCAACCAGTCCAAGAGCTTGTAGGCCAAGAAACCAGAGCATCAGCCAGAAGAATATAATTATTACAGGTTCTACTATCCGTTCTCCAAAGTACATCCTTGTGAAGCCTATTCTGATAAGGCTTTTGTTCAGTTCGCCAAAGAGAGTCCCCATCTTTTTATAGTCATCTATTACAGGTTCTGTGGTGTGGTTTCTTGGTTCTTGCTGGACCTGCGGACAGAAGACAAAATTAGGAAATATGTTGTACAATCAATTCTTATTACTGTGATTCTGAACGAGTCTCAGCTGTTTCTATTCAAATGTGTAAAAGTAAGATATACGTGGTATAAAGCTACTCCTTAAATCAAGAAATTGAAAGTGTTACGTATCTTGTGACTTCAGTACAACGTTAAGGATGACACTCACTTGTCCAGACTTGGGGCATCTGAAGTGATATTACAAACATATGACAGCCTGTCACCCCTCCAAATGCCACTCTAGAGGGGTAAAGCTCTCCTGTAGGTCATACATCTTACCTGTCTGTGCAACGTGGATGTCAGGGCAACCAAAATGGAATTAGATGCTTGTAATTTCAGGGAGGGGATGTGACTGAAGTAGATTTGTTGTAAATTATTTCCAGAGTATCTTCAGAACCACAAGAACAATACAAAACTATTAAGCATGAACTATTTCACACCAAAGCAAAGGGAACTGAAGGGCTGCTATCACCACTGAAAGAAGGGCACTGGATTCCACTGGGAAGAAGGCAAACATCCATCCCCACATTGGCATAGAAAGCTGTGAAAGTCAGGCAAAGGCAGACAGACCCAAGGACCACACAGATGCAAAGTGGTGGTACAAAGAAGCAAAAGGGGAGGGGAAACAAGTTCTGTACTGTTCCCTAAAAGAAAAACGATGGGGCAAATGCATAGGAAGGCAGATGCACACCTTTAGATGAAGATGCCATATTTAAATATCACTGCAGAAAACATGTTACTATTTCAACATGTAAACTGCAACTAGATTAGAGCTTGAAATCCCATCTCGCCTTCCCCAGTGTCCAGAGATCCTTTGCACAAAACCTTATTGCCTTGTGTTTGGGTACGACAGGGAGAACACGCTTTCAAGATGATGAACACGAGTTTTCTAATCCTTCCATTAGGCAGCAACGAAAACACATGCGGCAGGTACTCATCAATATTTCAGTCAATAGGTCCAACAAATTGCCTGCAAACTCTATGTGCAATTCGTCTACTCCTGGATTCAAAGCAAACATGTATCTTTAGTTCTTTCTTCAAGGATGAAAGCTATTCTATGTCCCTGGTTATACAGCATGGTCTCGGTGGAGAAACAGACATTCCCTCCCACAGCAGTGCCAGGCTCTCCATTAGAGAGCAAGTAATAAAGTGAACTCCCATTCCCATGGAAAAAACATCCAGCAAAGACCAAAGGAAGCTCGTATATTTTTTTCTAGGCCAGACTTTAGGCCACGATGCAGAACCTTCTGACTGAATGAGGGTTGGGTAAAGCACCACAGCCGCTACTGAAAAAAACCCCAACAAAACCCCTACGGTCCCTCAGCTGTGTGTGCTTGCACATTTTTTTATTTGCTTATTCATAAAGATTTTGGTTTAAGCTTCAGTACTGAATCCCAGGAAGGGAGGGGTGCAAGAAGCCTAAACAGTAACGAATATTGTGTTCAGTTTTTCTGTGGCCTACACAGGAGCCTGACTGTGGAGAACTGCAGTACTGGAGGTTCCGTGCTGACAGGCACCGCCTTGCCTCTTTTCCGCCTGCTTCTCAGGCCCAGGTTGTTTTCTCCCCCTCACTGGATATGGAAACCCCAATTTTCAGCATTTTGGCTTTAGCTGTGCTTTATTTAATTCAAATAAATGTTGATGCCTCGTTAATTCCAGCCTTTCAAGATTAGTCTCCTCAAGAAAGGCAGAACCTCTTGTGAGCTCCTGCAGACTCGGCAGGGCAGGGGCCTTGCCACCCGGGGACACAGTGTTATTAAGGGAACGCTCATCCCTCCATTCCCACAGAACACAGGAAGACAAACAAACTATTAGCCTAAGTGGTATATTGATCACAACGATTAGGGAAAAGAGAAAGGATGTGCTGTGAAGGGAAAATGTATTTGCTTGCTCCCTGCATGCAGAGACCCCAGGGAACACATGCCTACAGGATGACGGCGGAGGGGCTCAGCGCGCAGCTCGCATCAAGCGGCACGGAGACCACTTCTGAGAGAAACGGGCAATGTGTGCAGGAGAAATCACTGTATTTTCTAGCAAAGTAGCTTAGGCTTTGAGCCAGCGGCCAGTGCAACTAGGAGAGGGAAAACAAACGAATCACTTCTTTGCCTCTGGATTATTAATGGTACTCAGCAACGTCCTGGAAGCCTTTGCACAGAGCAAGCAGAGTGCAGCGCTGGCAAGGAGACCGCCAGCAGGCACGTGTCCACCAGCTCCATCTCACCGGGCCAGCTAAACACGATTAACTGTACCTGTCCACGCTGACGACGTCTCTCCTGGTATGAGGCAGCTGTAAGACATGGGATTTCCCTAGCAGCCCCACTCTGCTTTGATAAGATAACAGCAAGAAGTTGCAGAGTCTCTAAAGCAGGTTACAGAGTAAATACCACCTTACTTAGGCTGCCCAGGTCTTTTTTATTTTTTTTTAAAGCAAGATGTTATCTCACCCTCTCCTTCTCAAACAAGGTTAGATTCACGAAATCCAAAAGTGATTATGAAAAACTTCTAGACATGGAGACTGACAAGTATGTAATTACAAAACAAGTGTCAAGTTATTTTTCCAAATATTTTCAAGAGCTTACAAAACCTTTCAGAATGATCATGGAAATTCTCAAGATTTCAAAGTCTGCTTCAGTTAATTCAGGCTGAGTACGTCTTGCTTCAGGCAACTCAGCAAAAAACAAGTGAAGCTTAAAACAGATGATCAGCCATAAAACACACATGACATATTTTTCTTTACTATTGCATAATATCTCACGTGCTGGACAAATATGTTTCTTCAGAGGTGTAGCTAAAATAGTACCATTAGGACAAACAGCAGTAATGTTACAATACTCCGAACTGCTAAAAAAAATTAAATAAGCTTTAACATTGCAGCTAGAAGTTCTCTCACTAATTTTCAGGGCAACAGTAGAAACAGTGTACAGTCCTGCATCTGTGCCAGTAGCTCTCAAACCGTATCCTTAGAACGAAATACTTTTTTTCCCCCCCAAAAAGTACTTTTCTAAATGTTTTTAGAAATTGTCTGTCTTCACCAAGCACACAGTTCCCTGCTGACTCTTAATTTCCATAGAACTGTCTTCATAATAAATCTTGCTGAATCAGCCTGAAGCTAGACAGACACTACCATAACATAAAAATGCGGAAAGAGGAATGTACCCATTCTGAGCAGCCCCTGCCTCCAACAAAACAGAACTTCCTCATTTAAAAGCAAAAGAAGTTTCTGTTTCAAAGTTGGTAGTTTTAAAAATCAATGCCACTGCCTTGGTTTCATAACTTTTAAGAATTTTTTGTGTATCAAGAGAGAGTGGAGGGAATTTCTTTACCTGCACTAGCCCCAGAGAAAACGTGCTTTCAAGGCCTTTACAGCAGCTCTTCTCCTCATAGCTAACATGCACTACGCAGGGGGCACCCCCAGACTTCATCTGCCTCAATGCAGGAGGGAACCTAAGAGAGGTCTGTCTACTTCATCTGCACTAATTTGTTTGCCTACCCTCACTCTTTGAAAGACAAGAGTGATGAAGAAGTTCAGAGGGGCTTGGGGAGCAGAAGTGCCGCCAGAGATCTAGATGGATATAGATGGATGCCCAAAATGTCTCCTGAAAAGGAAGGAACAGCAGTATTGTCTCCCCAACTTCCCTCCCCTCCTTCCTCCAACTGGCTGAAAGAGACTCACCAGATACAGACATATGGGATTATTCCTGAAGGCGAAAGGAGAATGGGACTTTCCTGTGTGAATGAAGCTAAAAAAAGAATATATTAGAAATGCTGATTGCATTTGTTTCCTAACCTAATGTTTCTTATCAAATTGCTGTAATGAATTACTTGTTACTGTAATTTAAATTAATTTTACATCTAAGTGATTTTATTTTAGACATACTGGCATCATCAAAACCCTTAGAGCAAATTACACTAGCAGATTCCTTTATACAAACCACTGTGTATGGCTTCATTGCCTCAATTGCCTTTTCATTTTATATTCCTTAAATGCTTTCATATAGTGTAATAATTTTTTTTTTGTCATTTAAAAATATTTCATAGAATTGTTGAATAGTTTGGGTTGGAAGGGACCTTTAAAGATCACCTAGTCCAAGCCCCCTGCAATGAGCAGGGACATCTTCAACTAGATCAGGTTGCTCAGAGCCCCATCCAGCCTGACCTTGAATGTTTCCAGGGATGGGGCATCTACCACCTCTCTGGGCAACCTGTCCCAGTGTTTCACCACCCTCATTGTAAAAAATTTCTTCCTTACATCTAGTTTGAATCTGCCCTCTTTTAGTTTAAAACCATTACCCGCTGTCTTACTGCAACAGGCCCTGCTGAAAAGCCTGTCCCCATCTTTCTCATACTCCCCCTTTAAGCTGTGAAAGGCTGCAATAAGGTCTCCCCAGAGCCTTCTCTTCTCCAGGCTGAACAACCCCAACTCTCTCAGCCTTCCCTCACAGGAGAGGTGTTCCATCCCGCTGATCATCTTCATGGCCCTCCTCTGGACCTGCTCCAACAGGTCCGAGTCTTTCCTGTGCTGGGGGCTCCAGAGCTGGACACAGTACTCCATACTCCATTTCATATTTGGTTTCTATTTTTTTACTTTAAATTATTTAAAATTAAAAATGGAGTTATCATATAGAACAGAAAGGGAAGTGTCTGATCTGTCCTGTTGCTCAGTACATATGCACAAACAATGTTCTTCACAAGCCTACTGAAGTACCTGAGGGTTCCCACCAAGCACCCAGTTTTCTCTTGTCTTTTCAGATGTTTAGTGTTATAAAATTTCCCTCCCTATTCAAACTGGCACATTTGTATCAGCAAAGCTGTTGCCTGCTGTCTCCTACTGTTTACTGGCAGAAAATCAGAACTTGAAGATCCACACTCTGAAGAACTTTACTATGGAAACTGTAACGAAATTTACCCAGCTGTTATGACCAAAGGGCTTAGGGGCTTGGATGCTTTAAGGAGAACCATTACGTGCCCTCTCAGATGCAAGATGCCATAAAAGGACCTTTTTCAGAATTAAAGTCTCTGAGGAGGTCGCAGAGGAGATACTAAGCTCAAGTTCTGTCCACTTCCACCACAGCTAGTACTCCTACATCCCTGAAATGCTTCTGACAAAAAACCTCCTGTGTAATTGAATGTTTTCCTGGACTAGCGTTAAAACAACAGAGAAGGTAAAGTAAACTCAGCATACTAAACCCAACAAACATCCGGCTGTGGCTTCACCAATTATGTTTGTCATCAACATAACACGCAAAATTACGTGTGTTCTCACCACTGACTACCCTTGCTTATGGCAAACTTCCACACTCAAACTCACTGTTGCCTAAATTCAGGAAAGCACATGGTAAGTCACAAGCAGAGGCCGCTCCACACTGGTCTGACAGCAGAAACTTTTTCTTGCTTACCCCCTTCCCATCAAGGGTGTTTTGACCATGCAGAGAAACAGGAGAGCCCATCAGAACATACCCCCCTGCAAAGAATCCATCTTTGCAATGATTCATACGCTACTCCCTAGGAAAGAAGGATAAAGTTAGCACTGAACTTTTCACAGTCATTTAAGGCTGATCCCTGTCTGCACCTCCTAAGTATAATGTAGCCAGCTCAAGGTCTTTTCCCTTCAAATTGCTGGGAGCACAAAGCTCCTGCCCCTGACCGTTTGCAGATCACACCAAGTAACTTTGCCAAGCCCTCAGAGGATGCAGAACACAAATGGATCCAAAGGGGACATGAACCTACCCAACACGCTTGGAAAGCTGTTCTCCTGTGGCTCATCAAAACAGCATGGAAGCACAGATTTAGCATTTCTTTTTTCTGCTATCAGCAACGCTAGCTCACTGAAGGACAGTATCAATGATGTCCTTACACAAAGACTAGATGTCCTTACACAGCGTTGCCAACAGGCTCTGCTTGGAAGTCCCTGCAGCTTCTCTTAGGGGCACAGCCGCTGCTGCAGCACTTCCCTCGGCAAGAGATGGAGCCCGGTGCCCACGCTCAGGGCACCACACACTTGCTGGATCTGGTGGATTTGCTGGCCATGTGCAGATCACATGTGACAAACCACTGCAACATCTGTGTGCAGGTGAATCTCTGTGTGCTCAGGGTTGCCAACCCTGCCAGAAGAACTTGGGCTTCCCAGGGCTCATCCTTGGACAGAGGTCTGAAAGGAGCAACCCCAGCTGCTCCAGCAGCTGCGGCCGGTGCCTCCTGCCAGCCTCCTGGAAGAAAGACAGCCCTGCTTCATCACACAGCCCTCTGCCACACGGCTAGTGTGATGGGAGAGGTGCTGCGGGGCCACCAGGAAAGGCAGCTGTGGGCTGGATGAATTGTCTGGGAGGAACACAAACTGAAGGGCTCCGAAGCGATCGCAATGATTCTCAGTCCTGTAACCTCACCACTGCACTAGCCGTGAGGAAAACAGGTGTAGTTGTGGTCTTGCCTTCCAGGCATTTCATCTGCTGAAGCAGCAGCTTGGTCCAGACTATTCCATACTTAGCGTAAGGATCTTGAGATGGTTTGCGTGGTTTGTGATTTTCTTGCGTGTGTGGAAAAAAAAGTCACTGACTTGAGTGAAATAACTGGATGAAGTTCAACAGCCTTCATTCTGTGGGAGGAGGGAGTGGGTGAACATAAGGGACCTGCTCCACCTAAAGATTCAGGATGTTTTGTTAAAGAAAAAATAAAATCCATTCAACTACTCTGAAGGTACAAGATCCTTCAAAACAAACCAAATAATATCCGTCTTCCTATGTTTCATGACTAATGAATCGAAGAAACCCCAACAGTCTTCTGTTGCTCAGACGACTTGAAAAATTCCCACCCTGCACTCAACTTGACAACAGCACCATGCGGAGTCCAAGTCTATCAGTCTTCTCTCTTCTTACACCAACTGCCCAAAAGGCACATTACACAAATGTGAACTCCAGCAATGGAGGAGAACAGTCCAGTAGACTGGGAAAATAACTGCTCTCCATGTAAAACCTCGTGATTTTACAGTTGAGTAGCTGCTGCTAGGCAAAGAAAGCAAAGAGAAAGAGGAGTGGGAAAAAGGTATCCACAAAGTTCATCTCCAACACAGAAAAGCAGCAGTGTCTCCAAATTACTTGTAACATGCTTCAGATCACAATCGGTCACATTTATAGTTATAAAAGAAAGAAAGAAGAGATGGCATATTTAAGAGAATTACTTCCACATTAGATAGAAAAGAAACCTCTTTTGAGTTTAGTAGCAAACACGTGTTTAACAACATCTGAGACATTAAAGAAACACAGGGATATCACATTTACATACTCACCTGCACATTTTCCTTTTTTTCAAGTAAACTGTTTCCTCTGCAGTATTTAACTGCTCACTATCTATTTCACTCCAGTCATGGTTATTTTTGCTCCAGGGAACAGGTGGTGTGTCTGATAGCTGAAGCCCATAGGCACTTAAATGTCAAAAAAGCCAGAGATGTGACTTTAGGAACTGAGAAACTGAAAAATACTTCTGTATTTTTGAAAGCTGGAACATTAACGTTCAGAAGAGAGCACCTCACAAAGTCATCTCTTTTTAGAGGATGCAAACTAAAACTGAAAATACTTCAAGCTCAATCTTACCGAAAAATACGAGAAGAAAGCGAGCAGATGACAGAGACCAGGATGGAAGAAACCACAAGTTCCCTTCCCTCCAAAATAAGAGCCCAACTTCTGTTGGGTGCAGACAGGGACACGTACCAGCCAACACACAGCTACAGGTATTTTATAGTTAGGTAAGTCCCAGAGGAATGAATTAACCACTCTCGCTGGTACTCGGCCCCATCTGACCGCCCAGCGTACCGACTGCCCACGGACCGGCTTTGGAGAGTTTTAGCAAATGGCAAGTTCCAGGCCGTGGCCTCCTCTTTCTCCGAACTGCAGCCTCGCCCCATCGCAGGGCACCAGCACAAAACCCTGCGACGCGTGGGTCGGCCGGGCGCAGGCTTTCTGCCTCCTACTCCTCCGCATATGCAAACCAGACAGTTTTCTTATTAGTAACACCTGGCACGTGACCAGGATTTCACCCTGCCTTCCCGTACTTAAAAGGATTTCTTACTTGTAATTAAAAGAAAGTGAAATTTGCCCAAGAAGGGCAAATAATTTTATTGGAATAAAGTTTCCGATTTTCTTCCTCTTCTACTGCAGGAGGAAGAGAACAGTATCCCTTCGTGTCCTTTGCTAGCATGAAACTAACGATTAGTATTTGACCTTGTAAATGTAAGCAGTAAAAAGATCTTGATACTCAGCCAACAGACTATTAAGACAATAAAATTAATTTCAACTGTCTGGAGAAAAGAAAAAAAGGGTTCAGTTCTCTAGACTAATTTTAATCTGATATTTAAATATGAAAAGATTAATAGATTAGGAAATGAGGGGGAAAAAAAAAAATCATACCTCACTTCCAGATGAAAAACAAGACAGAAAAAAAAATAAGTTTAACTTGTTCCTCTGGGAAAAAAAGGCAAATGCAAGAAAACTAGAAAAATTCTTAATACCGAAAGTGCTTTACAACAGCTACCAATCAAAGTGACATACTTAGAGGGAGTTTAAATAAAAAATTGCAGAACAAAGATTGGGTTAAAGTTCATTTCACAGCAAGAATCCAGACACCATTTACAAAATAGAAACAAGATGTTTCTATAGAAACAAGCAACAACATAAGAAAAGCAACTGCACTGGATTCCCTTTAGTCTGCTTTTATGGCAACTCAAGTTTAGAATCAACAGTTGCTGGAACAAACTTCGAAATACCAGGAGCGGATTTATGTTAAGGAGATGAAAAGACTTTTCCAGATACTGAACTTGTGCATGTGCAGAGCAGAGACGGCTTCAAGAGCAACAGAGGCTTCCCTCGATAAACTGTGATTGAGTCCCATAATTTCAGGAGTAAATTTCCCCACTAATGCAGCACCAGATGAGAAAGTGTCACAGACAAGAACCCAGCACGGGAGGGTCCGAGGGAGAGGAATCCTGCCTCTCGCCCCGGCCCCCCCCGTTAAGATCTGCTGCCTCTCTCCCCCATTTTAGGCTGCTGTTTACACTCCTCCTTCCCCTCCTGCTACTGTCCTGTAACTTGATCCCACCCACGCTGCAATTTTAGATAGAGGCTAGATCAAAACCAATTTCTAATCCACCTTCTCCTTACACCTGCAACACTTCATTTCCATAGGATTTTGTTTATCAAGGTTCCGCCACTAAAACTGGTCAGCTTGACCCAGCAAAAGGCTTGCAATCCACCACCGTACGTTCAGCGTGGTATCAATGCACTGACTTGCTGAAAACCAACAGCTGTTAATTTTGCCTTTTAAGGAGAAGAAATTTCTATTCGCTTCTATCTCCAGAATACTTTTTTCTTTAAGAAAATGGGATCTTCACGTTATTCAAGCAGCATGCTATCCTATCAATTGTAGGTGCTACAGATACGTCTGAAGGGGGGTTTTGTTGTTGTTTTTCTTCAAATGCTGTCAAGCCTCAGAACACCCACTAATACTTTTTAGAAAGTTATTACCACATATTATTTTGTAGCTATGAACCTCTGCAGCAGAGTTAAATTATTTGTAGAGCCAGAACACATTTGGGATTAAGCCCTCCCTGTCAGGTATTACTATTTTCGGTTCAGAAACAAATCCCAACAACTGCAAGCAGGAGAAACCTACAATTTTCAGATATCTCAGTGTGGAATAAATTAGAAATAGATTTCCAGCCTTAGGCACTGTCACGGTTTAACCCAAGACAGCAACTAAGCACCGCGCAGCCACTCACTCACTCCTCTCCCTCCCACCCTGGTGGGATGGGGGAGAGAATCGAAAACAAGTAAAGCTCATGGGTGAGATAAGAACAGTTCAATAATTGAAACAATAATAATGAAAAGGAAGATAACAAAAAGAGAGTGAAATATAACCCAAGAGACCCAAGTGATGGCTCACCACTTGCTCACCACTAACGATGCCCAGTTAGTTCCCGAGCAGCGATCCAGCCCCCCCCAGGCCAACTCCCCCCAGTTTATATACTGGACATGACATCACATGGTCTGGAATACCCCTTTGGCCAGTTTGGGTCAGCTGCCCTGGCCGTGTCCCCTCCCAACTCCTTGTGCCCCTCCAGCCTTCTTGCTGGCTGGGCATGAGAAGCTGAAAAATCCTTGACTTAGTCTAAACATTACTTGGCAACAACTGAAAACATCAGTGTGTTATCAACATTCTTCTCATACTGAACCCAAAACATAGCACTATACCCAGCTACAAGGAAGAAAATTAACTCTATCCCATCCAAAACCAGGACAGGCACCACAGTTTCCACACACACAAGCTTACTTTAAAACATTCTTGGCCTCTACTGACTTAGGACTGGAATGATACCGTTCCAGGCAACACGGCACACATCCATCCTACAGTCTGATGAACAATGAAACATTTACATGAGGGATACCACAAGGCTGTTGCTACTACCCTCTAGTTTTGTTTCTGCTCATTCTTTCCATGCTGGAGAAATACTAGTGATACTGGAAGCTTACTCAAAAAGTTCAGGATTTGAACTTCGTTAAGACACCCATACCTCTTCAACATAATTCTCAATGGAAAACACCAAAACCCTTCTGTAATAGCTCCTCTAAATCTGAACCCATCTGTTAGAAGATAAAATATTCCACTTACAGAGATAAAACGCTGTTCTAACTAATAATACAACATCAATGAAAAGGTGACTAAGCTAATTTATCTACTTGCAAATACACGTATCACATATTAACTCTGCATTTAGACATTTTCTAAGAGAAGCATTGTTTTTAGCTTAGCTGTTGGACGGCACTTCGGAATCTATGCATCCTAAACCAGCGCGAGGTGGAGATCCTGGCCTCACTGAAGCAACTGGGAATTTTGCCATTGCCTTCAACTTAAGATTACAAGAGACTAAAACCCATTACTGCCTAGACAGACAATTTTCAGTACAGAAAACAGCCACAGTGCCACAGCTTTCAGGAACCCTGCCTGCTGTAACACAGCTCGGCTCCAAAGTCCCTATGGATGGACCAGGTGGTGTGTCTCCTGCTAACACCACACCTCATGCCCTAGTGTAATGCAGGACTTTTGCCTCCCCTTTTATTATTACACACTCGCACGCGTTCCACTTTTCTATTTTTATTTTGTCATTTAATTTACAGGTGTTGATGAGATTTAGGCTGTAGTAACATGACAAAGGCTAACCTATTTTAGAAAGTGGGTTAGGGAAGGCGATTAGAGGTCCTTAACTCTAGCAATGTTGAAAATACAGGACAACTTGTGCGTCTAACTATCAACAGTTAGGAAAAAATTGTGAACTCGTAGGGTGAAGCAGCAACCTACTCCCATGGCTTCAGGAGCACCTGAATCTTTCAGTGCCTTCACATACCACTTGTGAACACCAGCAATGCAATACAGAAGAGGTGGAAGAAACTACCCAGGTTCTGCAGCGCTTTGAAGACTGAAGTAAGCGCAATTATTCTCGCCTTTGCATGCAAACTTATAAAGGATATTAATCACGTTATCATCCAGTTCAGCTTTTCAATCTAATCACTGAACTACATAATTCTACAGTCTATTGCAATCATGAATTCCAAAGGCTATGTATAACATTTAGTACCATATCCTTCTATTCTTTTAAAAATGTACCTGTCAGTAATTTCATTAAGCATGTCCTTGCTGACATAGTAATAAGCTTCAACAGAAAATTAAAGCCAGAGGGTTTGGCATTAAATACATAGATTTCTTTCCTACAGAGTACTCTCTTTTAAAAATATATTAAAGGGTGTATAGATTATGATTTTGGTCCTGCTTGTCAGGAAGGTATTCTTTTAGCATTATGTTACTAGGTATGATCCTACACAAACTGAGTTTACATTGGAGGAAACGGGGAAAAAACAAATCACACCCAGGTTACCAGCCCCAGAGCGTCACCTAAAAAAACCTCTCAAAAAAGGCCCAAGGATTTGGTCTCACGCAGGCTTGGCTTTACACCAGCTGAGAGAAGTAGGAATTTACACCATCGTCAAAGCAGATTTTGACCCATTTCTTTTGCATCGCATGTAACACTAAGGTGGCGCACAAATTTATACTTCAGGAGAGAACACGAAACAGGAAAACACAGGCTGAGGACCTGCAATTGCGTTAACAGTGCAAACACCCTCAGCAAACACAGCAACAACACCAGGCCTCCACGAGGGACTCCAGGTAAGGACCCAGCCTGGAAACAGGATTCCTGCCTGCCGGAATGCCAGGGTTCAGCAACAGCCCCTCCATGAGAGCAGAGAGGCTGGGCGGGAGGGCAATTATTTTGAGAGAAATCTGGACACATTCATGAAAGCAAAAAAGTGACAGCACGTGATTAGGCTTGATGACCCAGGAGCCCCTCCAAATCAAACTACGTGTCTGTGCTTCCCTTGAACAAGAGAAATCTGGGACTGTGACAGTCAAAGTTTGCAGCAAGTGTATGTACCGCTAACTCCTCACCTAGCTTTAGTATTCGCTGCACATATAAAAATAAAATACTCCCATTTAATTATCAAATTATGATTATTTTTATTGTTATACAATATTCACATTCTCCATGCGTATTAATAAAGGCAACTGATACTCCTTATTTCCAAATCTAGTTTATTATTTGTCCGGCTGCTGGCACCTCAGTATGCAGAAAAAATACTTCACACTATGACAGTGTGACATTTCCAGTAAACAGGAAGGATTTTCTCTTTCTTCCTCATGGCCTATTTAAAATTTCTGCCTTGCTATCCTGATGTTACGCCCCAACTCGCCAGAAAGGGCCGCAATCGCTCCCTGTGCCTGAGAAAAGCGGGAAGAGAGTTTCTCAGCCAAGTGTGCCTGTGGCCACCCAAGCGGTACCTTTACCAGCTTCATTTTGAA